GTGGTGTTTATGAAAAAAACCTCTGCATAGAGCAAGATTATTAGCCAGAGGAGTGAGGGGGGCCAGAAGAATCCAGACCCCAAGGCCAGCACAGCCAAAGTTCAGAATGTTGATGGAACTGTTCATTCTGTATGACCCTCAGCCTGCTCAGGAAACCAGATTAGATGGGTGAGAGAGGAGGGGGGGAGGTGTGTAGGGTTGAGCCTTGTCAACGTAATCCAGCCAAAAAGAATTTAGTCAACAGATCAAGGCCGTTGTCGGGGAGATCCAGATTCTGTAATGAGTTGTGTTGGGAACAGAAAGGACAGGCAGACAATAACAATTTTCCATCTGCTTTATTGTCTGCCGGTGCATCTCAATGTGGTGAATCCAATCAGACAAATGGTGTGGACAAATTCTGCCAAGCCAATCTATCAGCTTCTCCAACATCAATTCCATCTGGCCAGCAAAGTCCAGGGACCACAGCCGGCCCGCGACCCTCAATAGAACCGCTTGCAGACCGAGCCCAGCTCGCTCAAGGCACAATGTCCGAGTGCTGATGGAATACGGCCATCCATCAATTTGGTCAGTCAGCCAGGAGATGAAAAGCCACCGACATTGTTTTGTAGAACACCAGGAGACCACCAAGCCAATCTGTAGAATCCAGTGATCGGAGTCCAGATATATATCCAGAACAGAGAAGAACAGGGGTCCCACCTTTGACATGTCCTCCCATGGAAGAAGAAAAAACTTTGTTCCAAAAATTTTATTGAGAGACCAGCTAACCAAATCCATAAAAATAAAAATATCCATAGTTTCTGGTTTTGGATGAAAAATGTAGAGAAGGCTCCAAGCAGCAAAGCAGGGAAAGATAAAGAAGGGCAGGAGAGAAGGGAGAAGTGTCTTACTCCTCCGAGAGCGGGAAAAAAAAGTACAACCAAGGATGACTTTTAAAGAGTTTTATTGAAATCTGTCTAACGATTCATGACWTATTTTACTAACCTGACAGGTTAATGAATAAAGACAGACGCAGGCTTCTGGTAGTCAGTAATAATAAAGTATTATTGGTGGGGMGGGGTTAGTGATGTGTCTTTGATTATCCTTTAACCACCTCAGAAAACTGTGACCTTCTAAACATAATAATTTGAGAGGGTTCTGAAAATTGGAAAACCATCACATGATCCTGTCCAAATATGAACATATGTGACGACTTGGATCTGAGACCAGGAGAGGAACGTGTTCCAAATGTGAGGACTGGGAGGTGAAACCAGGGAGAAGTGAAGTGTTTGAATGAGCAGAGCGGTATYACTCTATAATCTGACCCTTTACCTGCTGCTTGATGGGTTATATTGAGCAGAAAAATATGAGGAACAATCAAACACTTACAGATTTTTAAGAACAGGTCAAAGAGACACTGAATGTAAAAACGATAAAATGACCACATCAGTCACTGAATCATTTGAAAAGGATGCTGACGGTCCGTCCTCACATTCCTGTGTGGCTGTAATAACACCACAGACCCCAGCAGGCAGAAGGCCCACAGCTCTTTCTATCATYGCACGGTGCTCACATACAGCACGAAGGGTAAGTGGACTCTCTATGATGATGGATCATCCAGAGATATTTGAAAAAGATGAGAAACCAGGCACTACGTTTGTATTGATTGTTTTTGGAGGGAAAGTCTATTAAAAAAAGACATAGCACCCGTTAAGATGTCAGAAGTGGGCTTGAGCTCCATCCAGCTCATCTAGACAGGTTAGTGAGCAAAGAAAATGTTCTTCTTAATAGACAGAGTGATGAAGGATTACACCGGGACCACCGCTCCCACTAAATCTGATAGATGTGACAGAGGGGCTGGCTTTATGGGAGACTTCATGTCGAGAGCAACGCTTTAAGGCAAACAGTTCTCAAACAGCCYCGTTAAAGAATGTCAGTATTTTTGGAGCCTAGAGAGCATCAGAGAGCTCTTAAATCCTGAATACTTCAGATATGAATAAATGCATCAAAACCTTGAAGAGAGAGTTTAAAAAGGAGAGTTTACTAACGAAGCACGAAGGACAAAACATTGGAGACATTGTGGTTTGGTCTTTTTAAATACGTCATGAGGAAAAGCGACATTTTTCTTCTAACAGCCTCTTGATTGAATTTTTCTTGAAGTAGTTGTCCAACTTACWCAACTCTCTTTCTTTCTGTGCCTCTGTTTATCAGCATTTTTGTTCACCGATCTCACTGAAATCGTTCCAAAGAAGCAATATCATAAGATTTGGAAGTTGTAAAGTGGCTGAAGACCAGAGATTCTTAACCCATGGGCAATTGTGGGCCACGAGCGCCCCCTTGAGGGCCTCAGAAGAACAACAGTTTTTGACTTTGGGCCACAGAGGGCCGTGGGACCACATTGATTTTAAATAAGGTGCAATACACTTTCTCACCACTAGTAGCAGTAGTGCACCACTCAGATGTTTAACAACTTTT